CCCCCCCCAAACAACCAACTAGATTATTAATGGATTTGAGATCTAAGTTGTCCTAAAAAGATAAAATTCTTCTTATTGCAATATCTACATAATAGGATACCATGTAGAAAATACCTAGCTAATATTGATATTAACATAGATCCCAAGTGCCCTATACGCAAAAGAAATGATGAAGAATCCATCACCCATATTTTCTTTAGTTGTAAAACCACCAATCACTTTTGGAAAAGTCTAGGATGACAAAACTTCTATAAACCACAAGGCAATCACTCGCTTCTTCAATTAAAAGATTTTGACTGTCTACTAAAAAATAAGTATATTAATTGGAAATCTTTCTTTCCATTTTCCATCTGGTATATCTGGTTAAATAGGAATAACAATAATAAAAACAACAATATTCCTATTAACATTGATCTAATAATTCAAAAGACAACTAAATTCAAACTCCTTACTAAAAAAAGCCTCAACCCTAAAAAAAAAAAATCCCCATCAAAGTTAGATGGCACAAATCACCAAGAGAATGGTTTAAGTTAAATATAGATGCAAGCTTTAAGAACAACAACAAAAAAAGTGGCCTGGGAGGTGTATTCAAATATACAAATGGAAATTGGGTGGTAGGCTTTGCAGAATCTACTCATGCAAATGGGTCATTAGAAGCAGAAACCAAGGCACTCCTTGAGGGGCTTCAGATAGCGCAAGAATGGGAAATGTTCCCACTTGAAGTAGAAACAGACTCCACAGAGGTAATTCACTCTATATAACAAGGCAACAAACTATATGATGACATTGTTAATGTACCAAGAGAAGGAAGTGGTCCTTCGACACATCTTCCGGCAAGGGAATAATGTAGCACATCAATTGGCAAAAGAGGCTAATACTCAAGCAAAGGGGAAGAAACATTTTGTGCAACCTCCATCTTATGTTGAATCTTTTGTATGAAATGAACTAGAAGAACAATATGTTTTTGTTAAATATCTAACTTATGATGCTTGCAATGTTTTAGCAGGCCTAGGTAATCAATGTGTCCTAAGTGACACAAGGTATGAATGTGATGTACGGTAGTTTTAATATAAATATTTCCTGTTTGCTCAAAAAAGAAGAAGATTATGTCTATTGTTAAGTGCTAGAGAAAAAGGTAGCCCACTACACAAAATATTTTGTGCTGACGCAAGGTCTGGGGAAAGGCAGCACTTCAAGAGAGTATAAGAGGCAATTTACCCTAATGCAAGTATCAGTGGTTGATTTCACGGCTTGAACCCCAGAACTATAGGTCACACAAATACAACTTTACCCTTAAGTGCTACAAACTCTCTGTAAAACTCACGTACATATACTTGGTAAGTTTAACCCCCCCCCCCTCCCAAAAACAAATCAAACTCTATTATTATCTCAAAATAATTATTTCAATATTATCTGATGAAATAACTTATTTTTAGAGATAATTTTAATTAAATACATTGCCAATTATGTGGGCCACATGCATTAGAATTTAGAATCCAGAAAGAGGCGTAATTTCTAACAATGACGTCATACAGGTCATATCCTATATATACATTTTATTTGGGTGCGCATCATGAACATGTTATTAATTCATAGAAAATTAGTAATAAGCTATTTGAAGGATAAATTTTAGAGCCTCCTTCGCATACATTTAGCACCATGTGCATTGTCAAAAAGGTGGAATGGATGTGGACTTTCCTTATTATCCGGGACATAGGAAAGTGACTATATATACAGAGAGGGAACGAAATTCATATGGTTCATCATCTTCTGAATAATTGTATAATGTAACGTAATCTCAATAATACATGAAAGGTAATTTATTATCAAAACTTATAGGTACGGTTCAAATGTATCCTCACAAAAGAGTATATATTCGTGCTTACATCTTTGTTAAGATACTCAAGGATGACATCACGTGAATAAGTACTAAATTATTTACGTTATAGTTTAAAAAAATTCCAATAATAATCATATCAAGATATACTTCCCTTGATTCGGGAAGTGCATCTTTTATTTAATTAGCGAAATTGAGACACTATCTCTAGTCTCTAAGCTGATGCTCTTCATCAAAATGTGGCTGCAAGTACAGTGCCTTGACTTGTAAATTTCATTGCCTTTTGGCAATCTGAAGCCCCACCAGTATTCCATATATTTTATCTCCAGTCCCTTCGTAGGGTATGCAAGATTTTGCACAAAATAATGCCGGTGTATAGTCACAATTTTACTTGTATGTTTTGGTTTTAGGACTGTGTTGGTTTCGAGGCTTTACATAAATTGATAACTATTTTGTATTTTTGTTTTTTTACTGATTTCAGTCAAATATATATATATATATATATATATATATATATTTTGTCTTTAGAATATAACATTATATACATTGGCGGATCCAGAATTTTTAAATTATTGGTGCTTAACTATTTTTAATTTGAAAATTACTACTTAAACTGGGTGCTCAACTATTATGTATCTGTATGAATTATTAGTTTTTTTTTTTATAATATAGAGTAATAGTGTTGTGTCCAAAAGCAATGGGTGCTTAAGCACCCATACTTGACAATGTAGATCCGCCAGTGATTATATACACACAAACATATAAAAGGAAAGTTTTAAAGAACTAGTGCATACGTGGAACAACGGCGGCACGCTTTACTGAAAAAAATAGCTAGGCTAGTTACTTTTGGGTCGGTTATTAAAGTTTATCCAGACTAAATTGATATTTCTTTCCTAACTAAAAAGCCAAACAACTCCAGATTAAAAATATTTCTTAATCTTTTTATTATATGCGACTTGGATTAATATGATTGCTAGAGGCCTTAAAAATATAAATTATATTATTTATTCTAAAATCTATTTTTGTGCTAAACCGTTTGGCTCCCACTGTGGGGTCCAAGAAATTAAGCATTCAATCCAAAGTCCTACCGCACCTTTTTCTAAATTCTATTAATCTCACATACTAATTATCCATTTATGGAAAATACCACGTCTGGAGTTAACAACCTGCCAGTCGAGCAAGCCGCCTACTTAGTAGAGCAAACATGGGGAAAACAAACTTCGAATGATCAATCAACCGGATCCTTGCCATCCTGACCAGGAAAAACTCCCTGGCAACGTCTATCGGCGGGGATAACGAAGGACGGGAATTAGAGGAAGCCGAGAAATATTTCATGACGCAACAACATAAATTGAACGCCCAAATCGGAGAGGCTTTAAGGGCCCTCGCAAGCGAAGAAACGACCGCAACACCAACCCCAACCTTGATGGAACACGTTGACATCAGAAACCAAATTATAAACTAAGGAATACCGCGACAAGGGGGATACCAAATGATACCGAGGCCGACGGATCAGGTATGACCAAAAATACTAAGTTATAGAACTTAATTCTAACCTTACAATCATATGTGAAGGAGCAGAACGAGATGATCGAACAGATCCAAGAGTTTCACCCATTATCATGGGGATCACATAAGTAAATATTTTCAATAGCCTTGGAAGCCAAGTGTGGCCCCGCTCCCGAAGAAGTTCAAAATATTGCA